TGATTATAGCTCACTTGTGTTCTAAATTACATGTTTATGCACAAATAGATTTTATATTTTCTTTTTTAATGCATGAGTTTATGTGTTGATATCATATTTGGGGAATGCTATAGTCCGAACAATTTCGTCAGAATTTGTAATCGTTATATCATCATGTTACTGTCGTAGATAATTGATCTAACGGTTACAAACCCAAACGAAATGATTACGTAATGAGACGTAGAATCTCCTTCATATTTGTACTCATATTATTCGTCAGACTAAAACAGGAGATTAGATTCTTTCATCAAACTCTCTTTCAAACACCATTATTCAACATTGAATGTCATTAAATCTCACAATTACTTGTAGATGAGGGAATTCTCGACTAATTTTATTTTATTTTATTTTTTCTTACAATTCATTTGTTTGAATCAAATTTTAAACATTGACAAAACCAATTACCAGTTAACAATCAAAATCCAGTGTGACAATGTGCCACTTAACCCATATCCGAAACCGGTTGACCCGTAGACATAACCCATATTTTAGTAAGGCCCATCAGAAATTGGGCCACATTTATGGTCCCCCTCATCAATAAAGGCCGAAGATAACAGATGGGCTTTAGGTCAAACGGCTGTCTTTCCCAACCATCTTTAGTGCCCATCACATCAGCATACATTCATCATGTGCTGCTTTTTGTTCGATCCCTTTCGTACCATTGAGCATTTTACTTTATTATTTTCCCTTAGAATGTGAGTAGTTTGGCGTTAATCTTAGGAAAAGTTAACAGAAATTGCCACAATTACTTGAAAAATGGGCTTATAACACGGAAATGAAGTTTATATTGTTATGAGATTTGAGTAAAAAGAAATTAATTAGGCCCAAGATGGTTATGCGTTCAAACTTTCAAAGATGCAAAGGAGTCGAGTCGGTTTCGAGCCTTAATTGACGAGTCTTGTTGACAAAAAAAGCTCGAGCCCAATTCATTTACATGTAGTAACAAATCGAATTCAATTCATTTAGGAGACTTCCCATTACATATTATTTTATTTAAAAGAAATGGAAAAATGACAAAACGAAAAAAGGACAAAAAATTAGGGGGGGAAAAGGAGTCAATTGCACTTGAATTAAAAACGGAGACTGATTTATTTATATGACCTCTGAGGTATAAACTCTAATTTTTGCCCCCATTAATTTCTTATTCTAATGGATAAATATTTCAGAAAGAAAGCATAGAAAAATGGCAATTCGAAGTACCAGAAGTCGTGTCGCTGGAGCATTTTCCGGCCGGAAGTTCGCCGGACGAGACGAATGAGGAGAGCCTCCGGTCATCTTCAGCAGCAGAGGATCCGAACCACGCTATGGCGGTGGCGGTGGCCACCGCCGCCGCCGCCGAGGCGGCGGTCGCGGCTGCTCAGGCGGCGGCTAAGGTGGTCAGGCTAGCCGGCTACGGCCGCCAGTCCAAGGAAGAAAGGGCCGCGACTCTTATACAGTCCTATTACAGAGGTTACCTGGTAAAGTTATCGCTGTTAAGTGTTACCTCGTGTTTTTAATGTCAAGTCGCATAAATTGTGCGCAATCAGGAAAATAAATAAATTACTAAATTAGTGAAAAAGATTATTTGAGATTGAAATAAATAATTAAATAAATAAATACATAAATTACTAAATGAGTGAAAAAGATTATTTGAGATTGTTAATTGAGTTAAACATGTCTGATTTAATAGTTAGGCCAATTGAAGTTCAATAATTAATGTGTGAGACCTTAATTAGCTCAAGTTGTTACAATCGACGATTGTGTAAATTTGTCTACTAGTAAAATTGTTTGTTATATGCAGGCTAGACGAGCTTTGCGCGCTTTGAAGGGCTTGGTGAGGCTACAGGCTCTTGTGAGGGGCCACAATGTGCGCAAACAAGCCCAAATGACAATGCGGTGCATGCATGCGCTCGTGCGCGTGCAGGCCCGAGTCAGAGCCCGTAGGCTTAAGTTGGCCCACGACAAGAACAAGGCCCAAATCGCCAAGTTGGAGTATGAAGAACATATGTTTGAGGAGGCTGAAAAGAAGAGGAATCAAATGAAGAAGATGGATTACGGGCAATGGAATAGGAGGAATCATGGGAAAGTTGGAGAAAGTCGATCGAGAAAGGCACATGATCCTGGGTTGAAAAGGGATAAAGCTCTTACATATGCTATGGCTTACCAGGTTTTGAATCTTTAATTCATTGCCTTTTTTTGCCCACATTTTTTCTTGGTTTTTTTATAGGATAATTGCGTGTTAATTAGGTGAGGTGAGTGAAACAAGCAAAATATGGAAATTAATGTCCCTCTTGCTATAGAGTTGTTCAAATTGAACTCTAGATTCTCATGCCCGAGCTCAAGTCTTTACTGAGCTGAGTCCCGCTGTTAACTAATCGAGCCAATAAACGAGCGTGAGCTCGGTTCGTTGATCCAAATTGACAAGTTACGCTCGAATTTTAACAAATCTAACTTGAGCTTTACTAGTCAAATGAAGGTAATAGTTCAGAAACATAACTTAAATGAGCTCAACTGAGCTTGTTAAACAAGCTCGACCACGACTCATATATCAAATTAGATGAGCCAAGCTGACCCGATCTGACGAACGACTCATTTGTTTAACAACTCTATAGCATTATTAGACTAGTTTTGTAACATTTTCCATGAAATATTGTGCATATTTGGAGTTTATACTACATTTATAATTAAATATTGCTTTTTTTTTTTGGGTCGTCAACAGCAAAGAATGTTACAATGTGACCCCATGAGCGACAATTTCGACCTCGGGGCCAATTGGGGGTGGAACGGGCTCGAGCGGTGGATAGAGGCCCAACCGCCCCAACATCGGCAAAGGGCCCGACAAAACGCCACGGATAGCATGTCCGAGAAAACAGTCGAGATGGACCTACTCATCCCGTTGGCCTCGGAGGATGTAAGCATGGGCCGTCTCAGTGGAGACTGCATTGAGTCGAGCCCATACTCTTCGCGAAAGCCTCGTAGATTGGGCTTGGATGATGTCCCTAGCTACATGGCCCAAACCCAGTCCGCGAAGGCAAAGGTGAGGAGCGAGGGCCCGACTAAGCAGCGGAGCCCACAGGGGCCCCAGTGGAACCCGTCGACGAAGAAAGGGAGTGGTATTGGGCTGGGCTACGAGTCTTCGAGCTCCGGTGGAGGTACAGCTGCATATCAGCCCAGGAAAAGCCCACATAAGCAGGATAATAATCGTCGGCTGGCTAAGTGGATGTACAGCCCGGAGTCCAGCAGTGAGGATAGGGCTCTGGCTTTGGGGGCCCAAACTTGGAGGCATGATTTTGGGTGACTTGGAGTTTGTTGTGTCATGTGTGATGAGGCCGTTTGTGTGTTTGTTAATATGATGTTAATTTTATAATTTTTGTGTAATAATGTTGGTGAACCATCTTTAATTGTATGGAACTCAAACTTATATATATTTTGCACTCACTCTCCATAATTGATCTTATGATCTTTGATTGATGCAATATTGGATGTATATTTTTTTTTTTTAGGTTTTGTTTGTTCAACTAAAATTTATCATTGGAATTACAAATGATATTTACAACAAATATTGTTTATTTCATCTCACGATCTCTCTATGAATCCTTGTAACACAATTAAAACAAAACAAAATTATTATTATTATTATTATTGAAAAAAAATATATATCCACAAACTTATTTGTTATGTCAATATCATAAATTAATGTTTTATTACTTTTATATTATATAACACAATGATTAATTTTTATGGCATATTCTTTCACAATCTTAAATTTATCTAATTTTTTCAAAAATATATTTTTTCTTTACACTTTTCATCTCATTTTTTCCATATCGAATACCACAATTTAACTTTACAATTATACTTAACAGTTCAACTTAATGTTATTCACATTGCCATGCATGTATTTCCCACTCAAATAATTTTAGGGGTAATATTTCCATCAGTAGAAATTGGATCACAGTGTCAAAGAAAAACTGTTTGGCTCACATTAATTGTGTTCCCCTTAGTCCCACATCGAGAACGCAACAAAGAGTTTGTAGAACATGATACTATAAAGGAAAAACACGGGGCTGATGCAAGAGTATCTTTGCGCTTGGGGCAATGACGCAGCTAGTGAGGTACTAACCGAGGCGCGTCTATTGCTGGTTGAAAACTATTTCCAAACCCCCTCTTGGGCCTGGGCTTGTCCCTGGCCCTCGAGAATTTCTGGAAGGGCTCCCTCTAACGAGGGTAAAGCCCTACAATATTTAGTCAAAGTTTATATCCATTGGGCGTAGTATCTTAGTCCTCATCTCGTAATCGTTTGGGCCATACGTAGGTTTGTAAAATCTGCCTATTGCTCTACGCTTGTGATTTGCTTATTCAATTGAGAAGCAACCTTCTTAATCTTATAAGAATGTCATTGAGCATTTGGTATTTTTCTATTGCTAATTATAACATGAATACGCGTCACATGAACACGTATAAGACAAAATGCTTCTCGTCTTGATTAGTATACATTTTTCAATGTAAAAACACATTTATATGTTATATATATTGTGTATATATTTATTTATTCATTAACGTGTAAGGGAGTAATGTATTCTATTATCATAACATAGTAAATTTGTAGAAAAAATATGGCATTAATTTATATATAATACAAAAAATGCTTCTTGGCTTGATTAGTATACATTTTTCAATGAATTTATATATTTATTATTTATTCACTTGTAAGGGAGTAATGTATTCTATTATCATAACATAGTAAAATTTGTAGAAAAAATATGGTATTAAATTGGTATAAAATATGATGAATTTGATGTAACTTAAATGCGTCAAAACTATTGTTACACAGACCTATAAAATATTTATTTAATTATATACATATTTCACATATTAGGAAAAAATATTTAATAAATAAAATAAATAATAGCACATTATTTGATTAATTTAATTATGAACTTTGATGACGCAAAATTATAGTTATGCCTTTTCATCATAAACAGATAAAATGGAACAAAAAATAGAATAGAGAGACATTTTCCCTGTAAAAGCGGAGCGAAATACCCGTTTTTGGCCACTGAAGGTGACAGCCAGCACACCTTCTCCCCTTTTTTTCCGATGGCTCAATCCATTTTCTTTCCCAAACCCTAGACAACAATAATGCCCATTTTCCTCTCTCTCTCTCTCGATCCCCGCACAAAATCACCGGCGACGAAAATAGGGTTTCTCCCTTTTCAATTCGTGGGTTTGGATTGGATTTTCGGATTTTTTTTTCCCCACAATGATTCCCAATCCGGATCTGATCCACTACGCCTGCATCGCGAGGGGCGCCACCGTGCTCGCCGAGTTCAACTCCCGTGACGCCGCCCTCGGCGCCGTCGCCGCCAGGTGCCTCCTCCACGCGCCGCCCCACCACGCCGCGTTCAGCCACACCGTCCGGTCGAGGACCTACTCTTTCCTCATCGACGCGCCGTTCGTCTACTTCGCCATCTCCGACGACCGTCTGGAGACCTCCGAGGGCCAGGCGTTCCTCCGGAACGTCCGCGACACGTTCCGTCGGGTCTCCGCCGCCGGCGGCCGACGTAAGCTGGAGCGGCTCTCGTCCCACTGCTTCCAGGGCGAGTTCAACCCGGTCTTCCGCCAGCTGCTCGGCCCGGCCCTGTACCACACGGACGGGATCGGGTCGCCCTCACCCAGCGTGGGTGGGTCCGGGTCGGGTCGAGTCGGACGCGGGCTCGTGGCCGACCAGAAGGCGGTTCGCAAGATGAAGAACAGGTTGCTCGGCAAATTTAACGGGGAGAAGGAGAACGATGAAAATGGGGGGAATGGAATTGGTTTGAGCCGCGAATTTTCGCTCGTCGTGAATAAAAATGGGGAATTATACCCTGTGCAGATGGTGCAACAGCACCAGAAGGCGAGGAAAATCTGGAAAAAACACGTTTGGGTCGTGTTGTCACTTGACGTGATCATCTGCTTGATATTGTTCGGTGTTTGGCTGTGGGTTTGCAGTGGGCTTCAATGCATGGAGAGCTGAAGAAGAAGAAAGCATAAAAGAAACAACTTTTTTTTTGGCAAAAAGAAAGAGGG